TAGAAAGGAAGGCCTAGCTCTTGGCTTCAAAATGGTCGGAATTTTTTTCTTTAAACCGTTATAATTCCACAAATATCCTGCTACTGGAATTAAACAGATACTATTTTGTAGCCAATAACAAGGCTTTTCTTTCTATCTTAGCAGAAAATTGTACTACGCTTCAAAAATCATGAGCGAAGTCGAAAAACATAAAAAAAAAGCCAAAAATCTCGCCTATTAAAATTTCCTTATGTTATTTTTCATAATATTGTCTTGTTATCTAACTCAGGATCTGTAAACAAAGAAATTGTTTAACATGTAATATTATAGAAAGAACAATATTTAGATTTTCTATTTTAATATTTTAGACAATACAATTTTAAAATACATATAAATATTTTATTTATGATTAATGAACAAATATCCTGTTTACTGCATGCTACAAAAACGCCTGCAGAACTAGATTAGATACTTAAATAAATAATTAAATAAGTCATCAATAATAAATATTTGATTATAAAAATAAATAATTTACAAATTTAATATATAATTCTTTATAAAGATTTTGTTAAAAAAAATAGTTAATTATATTACCTTCTTGTCGATGGGGGTTCAATGATTACTTTAGAGTCCCCTTTAGCTCTAAATTTACCTCAATCTGATTATAATTTCATCTAAGTTCACATTTTAGACCACCTAAAAGTTTTTTTTTAATGAACCATATCATAAGGTGTTTATCTCTTCACAGAAAAAAGAATATATGCACAATTTGTGCATAGTATTATTAGTTAATTATTAATTAATTATTTAAAAATAAAATGACAATTGTATTGAAAATTACAAAATGTCTAAAAATCAACATGAACAAATTTTTGTTGTAATGAAAAATAAAGAATTATAAGATGGCTGCCATTATTACAATTAATAAATTTCATGCTTACAATACTCGTGATATACTCATGATATTGAAATTTATTCTTCAAAAGAAGATATATTTGTGATTAAAAATCAAAGTGATTATAAAAGTTACATTTATATCAAAAATGTCAGAAACAAATAATTATAATAATAATAATTATTATAGCAAATCTTTGAATATTCAAATTCAAAAAATCAAAAAACTTTTGAATTATCAGTTCACTGATGACCTTTTCAATCTTAATTGGTTTATTATAATTCTTCATTATGATAATTTCATGTTTTGTTATATTTAGATTCAAACTAAAAAGAAAGATCATAAAATAAAAGTACACGGTCAAAAAATACAAACTAATCCTTACTCTCATCACGTAGCATTGCAGCTTCCATCACTTTTATCAAATTTCACCACCACAAAAATGAATCGCAGAGAAATAATGAAAATAACAATAAATAAACACACCATTCTATTTCTCTTCATAAGCATAAATATTTTTTATTAAATATATTTTGTTCAATAACCATTTTAATAAATTATATATATATTAAATAAATTAAAAAATAAAAATAAAAAATGAAAATAATAAATAAAAAATAATAAATAATAAATAATAAATAAAAATAAAAAATATGAAATATTATGAAGATATTAAATAAATAAATAAAAAATTCATACCTAAATTCATATTCTTTTCATCCAATAACCGACCATCTTATTAAAAATTCTTTAAATTAATAAATTAAAATAATTCAAATAAATGATTAAAATAATTAAGAATAATAATTAATGAATTTAAAATAATTAAAAATAAATAAAATTAATAAATCATATCACACCCACACATACCTTTCCATACAATAACACATTTGTATACAGGATGTCGCCTTGGAAGTGAAATAATATATCACACATTCCTGACAATAAAAAAGTAATTTAGTCACGATCAAAAAATATAAATATATAATACTGTATATAATATAAAAATTTATATAATTACCATATAATTGACCAAAATTCATAATTCTATTTTCAATTGATAATTTTTCTCTTCCTTCCCCCCTCCTTCTTTATCAAATTTGTTGTTAAGAAATTATCATTGATATTAATGTTCTCATCATTCTCACAATAATGCTAGTTAAATTAATGCCTAATTGTTTAAAAAGAATTCAATATCAAAGTTAAATCTGCAAAATTTATATCTTAAATACATTTATTATATTATTATATTTCATATGAAGAGATTCTTTATCTTCCGATGATGGTGAAGAAGATAGTTGATCAGACAAATCATATTCAATGGTAAAACCAAGAATTGACTTGATGCCATATTCATTTAATCGATTCATTACGTCGATTAATTATTCATCAATTTCACCTCTATAAAATATACACATTTAGAAATATTAATACACTTTTACTCTAATATATTCTAATATACTTAAATTAACATCATCATCGCTAAATACTGGGTTAAATACAACATTTACTCGATAACATTATAATCCTTAGGGATAGGCAAATATTTCCGATTTTACTTAAGATGAACAATTTTGCTTACTTCCAATTTTTATAACAAACGTATTAGAAAACAAATGAAAGATTTTCTTTAGTGGATTATGAAGCATTTAAAATTATTAAAAATTTAAAACCAAATTCCAAACTGTACAATTAGATAATTTAATCTCATTATTTAAATAGTTTGCATATTTTATTGATAGTAAAATCTATTTATTAATACATCATCACTATATTTACATGATAAAAAGTATGTGAACCTTTATTAATTATAATCACTATTTAACCGACAATGAAACAGATTTCGATTGCTCTCTCAATATATGTGTTATTTCTACGTTATTATTTAATCTTTGCTTTAACAAAGAATTTGTGAATAATTATGTAAAAAAACATATAGAAAGATATTTCATGTCAGATCAAATATTTGAAATTATTCAATGTGTCAAAAATTTCTGATTCTTCAAAAAATTGAAGAATTCATTATTTATTTGAAGCGAATCGTTATCAAAATAATAATAATAAATCTTTATTTACATTTTCAAAATTATTAATACTTAATGAACTATGTTAAATATCTTTCTTTTTTTCCATTTATTTGATATCTTTAAATCTATCAAACATAAGGTAGAAATTTTATTATTATTTCATGATGATATAATTTACATTTAGTTAAATAGTAAAAATTTTTTTTTGAAATGTCTCGGGTTAAATGACACCGTAGAGGGAGGTGTAATTCTTAAATTTCATTCATTCTGAGAATATTTATCAGATGATAATTATTTTTCGTTCACTTATTATATTCAAACTAAATGTTTTTAAACATACATATAAATTTGTACATATTTGTATATCTGATCTGTATTTTTTTTTTTTTTAAAACTCATTAAATTACAAATATATTATTTCTTAATTTAATTTTATAACTTAATCAAATGAAATGCTTGTATATTTAATTTAAAAAAAAAAATCTAATTATTATAGTTAACAATAAATGATGACGCAGCAGTCATTGGAAATATAAATTCAAAATATTTATAATAGTAAAAGCTTGTTATAAAGGATAAATAAGCGATCTGTATTTGTTAAATTAAAAGTTTAATTATTGCTATTATCAGTTATCGTTCCAGCCAGGAAACATGCCAATTCATCATGGCAATAAATAAAAAGATGGGAGGATTATCTTCAAGAAAAAATTTGATAAATTCAATAAATGTAAAAAAAAAAGAAAGCAATCTATGCCAACGAATATATATAATTTGTGGAGCCATGCTGGTCTCACATATGTGGCTTTATGATTAGTGTTTTTACAAGATTTTTTTCGCGAAAAAGGAAGTAAAAATAGGTCCCGTCACTCGAAGAATATGATCGGCAAATCTCTACCTTAATAAAAAATTTTATTTAAAATTATTATACGTACATAAATACTTAATTTATTATATATGAAAGTATGTTTGTATAATTTCGTAATTGCACATACTAAGATAATTCCAATCGTACTACCGTACTATTCTAAAATCGTAATATACTAATTTGCTATATTACCAGCAAGAAATTGCTTTTAGTAAAATAAAATTTTATTTAACATTATTATATACGTGTATAATTTTGATTATTGACTAAGATAATTCCAATCTTACTATACTAATTTCCGAAACCCCAATCGTACTATCGAAAATATTATCGTACTAAAATTCGCAATCGTACTATATACTAATGAGATTTATTTATTTAAATAAATAGTTTTTATTATTAAAATATGAACCTATCTAACGGAATTCGTTTTTAAATTTTTAATAATCTTAAAGACTTCATACTCCGCAATAGAAAACTTTTCATCCGTTTTTCTAATAGGCTTTTTATAAGCATGAAATGAAGAAACATGACAGCACAAACATTGCTGTTCTTTAGTAAAATTGGAAACATTTGATTCCATTAGAAATTCAGTACAGCCAAAATATGGACCATAAATATTCTGATCCCGATTACGAGGATAGTATAAAGCTTTACTTGGATCATCGATTCTGCTGAGAATTGAATTTTGAATATCTCCATTTTTTAATGAAAAAATGAAACTATCATTTGTTTTCATATAAGTACCTGTAGTTGAATTATTCCAAGCTAAAGGATTATAACCACCAACTATTTCATTAGTTCCAGCAATCTTTGCAACCACAATTGTGCTAGAATGTCCATTACACATATTCCAAAATGTTTTCGGTGAAAAACCATCTCTACTTCCTCGAAGAATTACTTGAAATTCATAAGGTATCTTTGCTAAAGAATAAGTATATAACTTTCGACCAATCCATGATGAAAGTTCAGCGGCATGTTCTTTGTTGATTATAGTTGAGGACGGAAATTTAGTTTCGCTTACTTTTGAAGGCAGCTTGCGGATTGAAAACTTTCTTGTAATGTTTGAAAATATTCTTGCTGGCGAAAGGAGATTAACGGGTTTATTTAAGGACCGACTAATTATTTAATGTACATAATGTAATATGTTGATAGTTAATAGCTGATTGGAGAGATGTGGCATTGATGTGAAATTAACATGAATTTTGAACTCATTAATTAACAATCCAAGCACTCACTCCGTTAGTTCAACTAAAATATTTGTTAAATCTACACATTCGAGATCTTGTACGACTTTACCAATATTTGGACGTTGATCAGGGAATTGATTCCAACAATCTATTAAATAAGTATGTGATCGTATTTGTAAATAATTTAGTTAATTATTTTGAGATATTATTAATAAAATGAAATCAAACCTTGATAGATTTTAATATAATCATGTGGTGTTCCAATAATTGGATCTTCTCTATTCCCCTGTGAAATATACATTATCAAGTCTAATTCATCCTGAAATTTAGATTCATATGGCATTCTTCCACTTGATATTTCCCAAAGCAAAACTCCAATACTATATATGTCAGAAGCTCTAGTTCTGCTATATTTTCCCAGCCTTTTAAGAATAATTGGGTCTGAATATTCTATTGAATTTCTTGAATCGATTAAAAGCTCAGTATTATGCTTGGAAATACCAAAATCACTAATCTTAATAGTATTATTGTGGAGAAGAATGTTCTTTGAATTCTATAAAACAGAATTGTATAGTTAAAAGGATCAATTGTTTATAATAGTATTTTCTGAAAATTAATTACACAATTACCAGATCTCCATGAATGATATCATTTGAATGCAAATGTTCAATTGCTTTAGCCATTTGTTGAGCAAGGTTTAACTTATCCCTCCATTCAAGTTTTTCAAAATTAGATTTTAGATGGTCACATAAGGTTCCACCATTTGCATATTCTAATACAAGTATATATTCATTGCTTTTCAAATCTACATCAAGTGCATTTAATATACAATATAAAATATTTCATAAAAGTAATTATTAATTTGACGAAGATTAAAAAATTCAATTTAATATTACCTTTTTGTGAAATTCCATAGAATCCGATTATATTTTCATGCGAACTTGCACGTGAATACCGTTTAAGCTAAAAATTCATTAAAACAAATAATTGATAAATTGGCAGTTTTTGGTATAGGATAATTATTAAATAGTATTTACCTCGTTAAAAAATAAATCCATAGTAGCCACAACTATAGATTTTAAAGCCACTTTTCTATTTATATTTCCATTCATTAATGTTGCGCTGTAAATTATTCCAAATGTTCCTTTTCCAATATTTTTAAGATTTTTAAAATCATTATAATTATATTTTATAATCGGATTGCCTTTTGTCATGTTATCGTATTCATTAGAATTGGGAGTAGTAAATAGGAAAGTAGATAAGGAAGTGGATAGGGAAGTGGTAGAGGAAATATATAGATGAAAGTGTCAATAAATAATACGGATCGTAATATTAAATACTTATAAAATAATAATAAATATTATTATGAAGAAATACCTGAATTTGATGTAGTTGATGAAGAAGGAATAGATATGGAATCTCTACTGAATACGTCCATTGAAGCCTGAGATTGATTATTAATATTGACTTCTAATGGAGTATCTTGATATTCGTTATATATATTTTCGAATGCGTCCATTGAAGCTTGAGATTGATTATTGATATTATCTTCTAATGGAGTATCTTGATATTCGTTATATATATTTTCGAATACGTCCATTGAAGCTTGAGATAGATTATTAATATTATCTTCTAATTGAATATCTTGATATTCGTTATATATATTTTCTAATTTTATATTTTTGAGAGAATCAAAAATGTTTTCAATAGTTGGCCTTTGATTTGGATCATTTTTCCATGCACTTGAATATATTTTGATATAATCTATTGGAGTTTCATTAATATATTTTTCTCTTTCACCTGAAATAACTAGCTTAAGTATTCCCGAATTTGAGATATTATTAAATGGAGGTCTTCCACTTGATAACTCCCAAAAAAGAACTCCCAAACTATATATATCCGAAGCTTTATTTCTCTTATATTTCATTGGATTTTGTAAATATTCAGGATCAGCGTATGCAACCATTCCACCACCTATAGATTTTGAATTTGAATTTGAATCTGATGATCGAGATAATCCTAAATCTGTTATTAATAGCCTTCCTTCGTGAACTAGAATGTTCTTTGAATGCTATTAAAATAAATGAATTTAAATATACAATTTAAATAATTAATAATTGATACAATTATTATTATACAATATACTTACTAAATCTTTATGAACTATGTTTTCTTTGTGAATACAGCGCAGACCACTTGTAATATCTTTAGCCATATTAATTTTAATTTCCCAATCAAGTCTTTTGAAATTATTTCGTAAATAAGTCTTCAAGTCACCATCTTTAGCATATTGCAACACTAGGTAGTGCGTCCCTGTTTTGGGGTCTAAATAATATTCTTTATTAAATAATATTTATATAACACGAATGACATATAATAAAAATAATAATCAATTTAACCTATACTGATTCCATAAAAGTTAATAATATTGTCATGGTTATTTACAGCCAGGATATTGGTTAACTGTGGTTCCAAAAAAAAATTATATTTAAATATTAAATTTTATTTTCATCCCGAAAAATATATAAAATAATAATGAAACAAAGTATTTATTTTTTACCTCTCTCAAAAATTTTTCATAAAATAATTCGTCATTTTCATGCAAACTTTTTAATGCAACACGTTTTTCTAAATTTGTTGAATTAGCACGATAAACCGTACCATATCCGCCTCTTGCGATTTTTGTAATATTTTCAAATGAGTTAAAATCAAATTCTTTAACAAATCCACATTTTAAGGCAATGTTAAACAAATCTTTTTTGCTATATGGCAAAGACATTTTTCGGAATAAAATATTGGAGATTCCATAACAAATTTATTAAGGAAATTGTAAATATAACACCATGCACTATAGTATAACGTAGGACGTTATATTCATGTACCGTCATGTGGCATCTTTTAATACAATATGAAAAATTGGAACAAATTTTTTAAGGAAATAGTAAATGTTACACCATGCACTGTAGCATACTGTGGTGACGTGGCACGAAATGAAATAAAGTGAGATAAAATATTACGCCAATCAGTCTACCTGATTCAAAATTGCCGTTACTCAAAGATCTCACGTTTATCTCTTTCTACAACGCGTTATCTGTCAGCAGGATTGGCCTCTGGCACAGATAACAACTCAAACAATTACAATGATAGTGTAATCTGAGAGGTACGGTGAGTAAGAGGAGTAGAAGTATCTCCATCAATTACTCGAACACTTTTAAATTAGAGTAGGCTTACTGATGCAGATTTTATTTAAGCAAGGTAAATGAGTTTATTATTCAAGTAGATGAATTTTATTATAGAAACTTAATAGTAGAAATATTACAAGATGTTGTGTCTATGACTACCACTAATCTTCTATACTAATATTATGAAAATTATTACTAGTATTAATTCGAAACACTACAAAATTATTACTATTATTAATGTTATAAGTAGATATTATGATAGAATTATTATTGTAATAAAAAAAATGTTATGATAATAAAAGAAGGAAATTCTTTGTTTTCACTTCCCTGAAGGTCTTCTCTGCGGCCGCGCGATCACTACTTCTTTATCTATCTTTCTTTTTATTTACTTTACCCTCAGTTGCCACCCAATACACATTTTCTTTTGGAGGTGTTGTACAAGGGAGAATAAATAGCCACCTCTGTACTTTATCCAAATAGTAGTACACGCCTATCTTAGTACTACTGCCACCTCTGCTCACCACCCTCAATGACCGCAGACATTTTTGTGACACCACAATACCATCTTTTAATTCATTAATGTAATGCCAAATAACTTTAATCCAAATAATCCAAAAATAAAATAATTTGCTCTGGACTCACAATGGTTCTGTTTTCTGGTTTACGCAATAAAGAAATTAGCATGACAGAAGTTCCCTATTGGTGATCTTGTTACACAAATTTTTCATAAGAATACATCATCAGTAAATTTTTAGATGTAATACTACGTAAAAAAACATTTTGATTTCGCTCAATTTTCTACTAAGTTATTTCTAAAATGGATCGAAAGTCCCAGTTCTTAACTACATGTCAATATATGCTTCATTCCTGCAGCTTCGATATTCATTGAGATAAAGTCAAACATCCGTGAAAAATTTTATAAATAATTTTTACATAATATTTGAATATTTTGTAATACGGAGATTTTCAAATATTAGAAAATTTCCATAAAATTTTTTTGCAAAATTTTTCATAGACGTCCGACTTTAAACATGAATTTCTCGATAAATATCGATGATATAGGAATGAAACACGTATCAGCATATAGCTAAGAACCAGGACTTTGATCCATCTTAAAAATATTTTAAAAATCGTACCTGAGACGTAAATCACGAACGAATTCAAAAAAAGATTTTTTAGGCATAAATTTCAGAAATATTTACATAATATTTTGAAAATTTACATCTAAAAAAATTTCCTGATGTAAGTAACAAAAACTAGATTGCCTACTAACTGTCTGGTCAAGAATTGAATGAAATAATAATCCTTATACTATTCAAATTATTTCACGGTATTAAATATAAATATAATATTTGAAAAATATTCTTGTTTTTAGTTGAAATTAATTTTTTTATTATAAAATATTATAGAATGAATGTTTATAGAAAAAACTTTAAATTGGACCATTTAATCCTTTGAAAATTGGAAATAATAAAATGCTTAATTATTTTAAATTTTTACTAAATTATTCAAATCATATAATCCAACTTTACATATATTTCCTATTAAAATCTGTAACACTTAGTCTCATGATAGATATAATCAATCTGTTTTTATTTTTATTTAAAACTAAATTAATTATATTTAATTAACTAGAACAAGAGAAATTGATCACTTTCGGTTCTTCACTTAATATAAAAAGTACTTCTGAAATTAATAATGATATAGTTGGTATATTTAAAACAAAATAAGGATTATTTGAGAAATTTTATATCTTTTTAGGAGAAGTCAGTATAAATTTTCTGTTTAGGAGAAGTCATAGTATAAAATTTCTTTTTTATATTTTCTTTTATACACCTACAAAAATTCTGTATTTGAAGGTCCATTTAGGAAAAAGCATAGTATTCCATTCCTTTTTTATTTTTTTAATCATGCAACCAGAACGAAATCTGTAGTTTTTTTAGTTTAGCTTATGAAAATCATTTCTTTCGATGCCTAAAATAGATTTAAAAAATCTCAGTTAATTATATATATATATATATATCCTTGCATAATATAGAAGTTGCACAAGCTTGAAAATACTATATGGAAATTGCACAATATTTAAAAGTACTATATGGAAATTGCACAAATTTGAGAGTACTATATAGAAATTGCACAAGTATGAAATATCAAAGTACAAAAAAAAAATTCTGTAACAGTCAATTTTTTTTCTTTTTCAAAAAAAAATAAATAAAGAAAAAAGCTTTAAATTATAATAAACTGGTATTGAGAGACTAAGTGAAATTGTTTCCAAGGTATAGGAATGCTTAAATTTAAATTTTTGTTTGTATATAATTTGTTTGAACAAAATTACAATTTTTTTTTTTAATGCAATATGCTTATGAATTTTTTGATTCTTCTTAGAAATTTGTAAAATTATTTCTGTGGCTTTAATCAAGAAAATTGACATTAAGCAACTAAGTGAAACTGTTTCTCAGGTATAGGAATGATTAAATTTAAATTTTCACTTGTATATCATTTGTGTAGACCAAATTACAATTTTTTTTAATGACAAATTTTTCATTCTTAGAAATTTGTAAAATTATTTCTGTGGCTTTGATCAAGAAAACTGGTATTGAACAATAAGTGAAACTGTTTCCCAGATATAGGAATGCTAGAATTCAAATTTACTCATATTTTTTTTTTATTTTTTGTTTTTTTTTTTATATCTAATAGAGTCTTGCTCCAATAAACTTTTATTAATAAATTAGATGTAAATTTTAAAGATACAGATAATTTATTTTACATTTATTGAAACTAACTAAAAATAATATTTTATATCTGCTCATCATTGTCTAAGTGTAACCTCAGGAACTGATGGCCAAAACCTCATCAGATGTAATTATTATATATATAACTATAATAATTATTATATTTGTATCCTAAATTAATCCACATGCTAAATTTATGTATCATGTTCTTTTCTATTTGTTCTATTTTACTGTATTTCCCTTCATTAGTTTTTACTAACTTTATACTTTCATTATATTCTCTTATTTCTCTCACCTTTTTTAAATTAATTTTTTCTTTTTTTTTCCTTTTCAATTTATTTGTAATATTATTTTTAGCTTCCTTCAATATCACTTTTTCATACCATTCCTTCCAGTAGTCTTTTAAATACTCTTTAAAGTTAACTATTCTTTCAATAATTGCTTTTCCTAAGGTCACCTTACTATATATAATAATATTGCATTCCTCAATATCATCAACTTTCAAAATATCTTTCAAAAAAGAATTGAAACATTCCAAAAACCTCTCAAAGCCTTTAATCATATTGTCATTAAAATTTGAATTGTTTGCTTTTTCATGAAAATATGTATCTACTTCTGTTAGTTTCATTTCAAAAAGTTTCTTTGAAAATTTAATACTTTCATTGACTTCGTTTTCATTTTTTTGTTTTTTATCAATCATTCTTATCATATTTTGCTGTTTTAACTTAAGATTGAAAAGTTACGAATTAATTAAGTTTATTTATATTAATTAAGATTAATAAAATAGGTAACTTACCGTTCTCATTATTTGATCTTTCACATTCTTCTTATTGCTCATTCGTTAAGGAATTTTAACAAAATTCTTATATAAACTTTCATAGGTTTCCATCATGAAACCATTTATTGTGTCAAACTGATGAATTGATTCAAAGATATAGTAAATTCATAAATGAAATTTTGGAAATTTCAAATTGGAATGAGAATATGGTTTAAATATTTTAACAAATAATTTTGTCCATTCAAAGGTATCCTTCTGAAAAATAAAATTATTTAACATATAATTTGTAAAATTAAGATCTTAATTTTTTAACAACGCACCTGAAAATTTTCGAGATCACTTTCTGTAAATACTTCTGATCTACTCATCATGTACATTTGGTTCCATTTTACATATATTTCTGATAATTTTTTATTTTCAACAAAATCTTCAACATTATTTTTATTTTCTTTATATAAGTTGTCTACTACAAATATCATTACTTTCATTAAAATTCGATATTCCATTGTAGTCATTCTAGAAATTAATTGATGTCCATTAATGAATATTTTTAACTCTCAGAATCATGAAATTTCTGAAAGTTTACAATCTATTTCATTGACTAATGAACTATCTTGTTTACAAAGAAGTGTTTAAGTGAATTCTATTTGATAGTGAAATAGTCCCAAGTCCAAATGGTGTATTTTGTCTGGAACTGTTGCTGTATATACATTTATACTTAATAAAGATCAAAAATAATTAGGGATATTTTCTAAACTCATTTCTTGTTCAGTATTATTATAAAAGAATTCATGCATATTTTCATTATTATGAAGAGTTACATAGTTATCAGGCAGATTGGTATTTGTTAACAATATTTTCAAAGTTAAACAAAAATGACAAGAAAAGTTCAAATTAGTTGATTTGTATACTAGACTAAATGTGGTAACTTCTGGCCAATCATATATAATTGTTGATATACAAGGAATTAACCAAATTGTTTAAGCACCAATTTCTAGATCAATATCATTTTTTATAAATAAAGGATCTAATAAAAATTTAATAGAATTATGGAAAGTTGGTTATATTAATTTTTTGAAGTTTTCAG